TGTGTGTTCAGGGTCTTTCCTACATTGAATGCAATGCCTGCGAAAAATGCGGGCGCACGCCTTAGGGGGCGCCAACAAGAGATTCGCATAATAAAAAATAGTAGTCTGTCCGAAGACAGAACCACCTCAATACATGATTTCCTTGCCCTTTGCGGACCATCTATCATATCATATATATATTTTTTATGCATTTTCTACTAATCTTTGAGAAATGCTTTTAAAACACATTAAAAAATTTCTTTAAGACAACATTCTGATGTACGATTTGAAAGTAAAGATGAATACTATGAATAAAAAAATTCTGTTTAATTTTTTTTATAATTAATTAAGTAAAATTAAGCGTTTGTGGCAAGCAGTTATAAAGTTTGTTCATAATTATTGCTAATTTTTGTAAAATTGAAAATGAAAGTTTGAAATTTTAAGCCGTCTTTGGAATTTGGCATTCGGCAGTTTTCTTTCAATGTGTTGTTTTATATAAGTATTCTTGTTGTAAATATCATTTTCGTTGTAGTTGTAATTTTATTATCACGTTTCTAAAAACCAGGAAAATCCAGGACAAAAGATCTAAATCCGGGACAAATACTGCTTTTAGAGATACCCGGAAAACTCCGGGACTGTCCCGGCCAAATCGTGATAACAACGTAAATTTTTGTCCAAGTTTCATCCTACAATCTTGAACCGGTTTTAAAAATTCAAAATCTATTTGAAAGATATTGGCTGGGAATTACGTTGATTAGTTTCTGGTAAAAGTCGGTCTGGCCGTTTCTTTGTAATTAAATACTGAACAAATTTTTTGGTCGATTTTGATGATCATACCAAATATAATAAAATTTTTCGGCCCAACGACAAGTGGTTTAATTTTGAACATTTATCAAGGTTTGTGTCAAAAGTCGCTTTTATGATGTGATGAGTCAAAATTTGAATTTCGTCGACGTTTTCTCAAAAACGACTGAACTGATTTCACAAATTCAAAACCCAATGGATTACCCTCGATAAAGAAGAACCTCTTTCTTTGGAATTAGCAAAAAGATGCTTTTTTGCAACCTTTTTTGCAAAAATCTTTGCTATTGCAAGATATGGATTTGTGCATTGTTCACAGAAATTATTTAATAATTATCTAAATAATATTTGTGTCTCTTAACGAGCAGTCTACAAAATCTCTCAAGTTATCCGAAAAATGTTACCAATAATTTGATGATGATTAAATGATTAAATATTATCAAAGTGTACACACATGATGTAAAAAACCGTGCCATTTTCTGGTAGCAGATGCTTTTACGAAATGACTAATTAAGTTTTACAAAAAAAATGTTTTGGAGTTTGTAATGAAATTTAACATGGCAAAAAAATTTATGTACTAAACGGTCTTACGAAAATTGGTTGAATTGTATAAGTTCATTAAAATTTGTTCACTATAATAAATAATTAAAAATTTGAACTATAATTAATTCAATTACAGATATTATAAATATGTTTGTGAGATATTAATTGGAAATAGCAAGGTTTATTCAATGAAAACAACATTTTTATTTGCGTAATAAAAACTTTATTTAAATAGCTAAATCTCAATTTCGCTTGATAAAGTAATGTGCAAAAACACATATAGGAAAGTTCATGCAATTTGATTAAGCCAAAGATGCCTAGTTGTTAATATTAATCACAATTAATATAGATATCTGAAGAAGTAAAATAACGACACAACAAAAAAATTATGATAAAGAAAAATTATCACAGAAAAATTATTACTTTGGGTGATGGATCATTTTAATTGCAATTTCTAATATCTATAACAGTTTATTTCTCATTTTTGATAGAATTGCAAGCACATTATATTGAATCTATAATTTTTCTACAGAATTTGCTTAAAATGTGATGTCTTTTCAAAAAGCAGGTTATCTGTAATATTTAAGAGAATCTTCTATTAATCAGCAACAAAAATAACTGCTTATTCGTGCAAAAATATATTGAAATCGTATAAAACTGTCACGCAAGCAACAATTTAGAAAAAATATATGAAACTTGACCTAACCTAACCGAAATATGTGTGGTATGTTCCAATATCCTAAATATATCAATATATACACATATAATTTAATTATACATATACACACATATTTATACAAATGTATAAATTTATATTTATGGACGTCACTTTCGTAACGGATTTCGCAAGCTTATGTAATTTTATTTAACTTAAACAAAAATTTAAATTTTTGCTTATTGCTACCATTTAATCCGGTTATTGGCGATTTTTTTTTTAATTTATTGAGTAACCAATTTGATGAAGCATATGTTGTACTTTGATTATAGAAGCATTTTTAAACCAAGGTCGAAATAAATTGTTACTTAATAGAAATATTTTTGCAAACATAATTTTTTAACCACGTAGGCTTTTATTTCTTGTTTTCCAAAATTTACCAACTTTCTTCTCTAAGAATGAATAAAAATCTAAAGATGTATTCTATCAATTAAAAATAAAACTATTTTCGAAAATGCATTTTTATAGTAATCACAAAAAATCAAAAATGAAAACCTTTGCATATCTTTACGTTTAAAAGGTTCCTGAACATTTTGGTATACCTTAGAAAAAATGGATGTATGTGTGTGTGCGTGTGTGTATGTATGTGCGGATACAATTGTTCGTCCACATTTTCGGGCGCACGGATCAACCGATTTGGATGATTCAAAAAACATTCGATTCCTTTTGGTAAGGAGATGTGCCGATTAGTTTTTGGCAAAGGCAGGTCCAGCCGTTTCGGAGATACGCGGCAAGAAGTTAAAAATTTATCAAAGTTTGAAAAAAATATTATAGTCAAAATCTGTGTCAAGAGTTGCTTTTGTTATGTGATGTTAAATATTATAAATTAATTAAAATTTAAAATATTAAGCTACAATTTTAGGGCATATAAGCACGTGTCTGTGCAGTATAAATAATATAATTGCAGTTAATTTAGATGTGTTTGAAAAAATTCTATTCGAAATCGCAATGTTTGGGTTTAATTGAAAGCAATATCTTTATTTTTGAGATAAACAGTTGAAAATTTTATCTAAACATCTAAATTTAAATTTAAGTCAGTTTTTACACTTCAGGAAGTTCATGCAACATGCCTAAGGTCAAATGCCACTTTCAACTAGTTTAGAAAATGTCTACGAAAACTCAAAATCGACTCAGATACATACACACATATACCTTTTCCAGTCACATTTTATTCAAAATGACTTGAAACTTCGAAAAAACGTCAGGAAATTATTAATAAGTGTGTGTATATTATTGTAGATCAAAGTTATTAAAAAATATTAATTATAAATTAAATGTTGAAAAACAAATTCGGCGTGAGTAAACTGAAACTTGTTAAGCTTTGATTATTCATTGATTAAGCATTGATTTTTTTAGCTGTTTTAAAAGTATTGGCCTGTATATCATATTAAAAAATATTTTTTAAAGACTATTATTTATTATATATTCAATTATTACATTTAAAAGCTAAAAATTCATCTCGTCAGCAAATGAATAAAAAAATCCCGTCATCAATCGTCATCGTTTCGATAAAGGTCATCTATTTTACCTAAATGCTTAATGAGCTGTGACTTACACAATAGCACTTGCATTAAGAACTGTATCGATATCATATTTATATTTAAAATAATGATGTAATAATATTATATTGAACAAATATTTTTGCATCAGCAAATTGTTAAGAATGTTTTACGAATTGCCAAAATTAAATTTGATTCTGCGAAAAAAAGATGTCAACGATTTACTAAGCATGAAATTTGATAACTTTATAATAGAATGTTATTATGTAAGCTTATATTAAATTTTTAATGATTGATACAAATATGCTGTCTGTAACTACAAATTAACTAGTTGTCTATGGCATCGTGCCTTTAGGCAAATTGTTGGAACTTTCCGTACCGTAATGAAATATTCGAGAGATATTAAATGTTTTTAAATAGATTTTTATAAGTACTGTAACTTATATAAGTTTACAGAAAAGTAAATAACCAAAACTAATCTATCGAATTTAAAATGACGGACATTGTCTAATATTTATAAGAATTATATAAACTGAATTGCAAAGTGAAAATTATTTTGTTAAAGTCTACTAGTGAGCTTTAGAACTTTAGCTGGAATTAAAATTAAAATCCGATTTTTTTTCGATATTAAAAAAACATTTTTTTATTTTTTTCTTTAAGCAATTGTTATATCAACACAAGCAGAAAGTTAAAAAAAACAATTTTACAAGAAACAAATTAAATTAATAGTTATTCAAATTCTGATGATGTACATTTCTAACAAAATATACCAGATCAAGATTATTTACAGTGTTATCTCTGTAAAAAATATACGCATAAAATTTATATTTTGCATTGTTGAGTAATGTAGCTATTAGTTTGTAAAATCCCTTCAAGATTAAAATAAAACATTGGTCCTGTTTGCCACCTTGCCGTCCCAATTTACCATTGCTTATGGAACAAATTTTCGAAAAAAAAAACATTTCTACAGTGATGAATTAGCTGAGAGTTTTACCGAACATAGTCAGATAATTGTTTGTTGGATGTGTTATTTGTTGTGATATAATTGATTTGGTTTTTACGTTATAATTGCCCAAAATCAAATTGGACCTTTTTGCCCTTTATTGGGCATAAAGGTAATAAGGTAGGGCACCTTATTTGTGAAATATACAATATAAGAAACATATACTATCTATAAAAAATTTAACTTGTCTCTAATTATTACAGTAGCTATATTTATAGTTTGATTTTGCAATACTATTATGAGTTGTTTTAGAATCTTAATGTATTTATCAATACTAGAGGTTAATTTTATTTTTTAAAAAAATTTCCTATTTGAAATCAAAGTAGATTCGGAATAAAATTGGTTTGTTTGCATATTTCTGCACTGTAAGGGTACAGAAATACCTGTATTAAGCTTGACTGTATTTTTATAATAATAATGCTATAATAAAAATCTTACCCTTGTCTTTTCTTATTTCCAGTATTACGTATCGGCAGCTCAATATTTCTGGCTGGTGAAACAACCACATTTAATACTCTTCTTTTTGGTCGTTATAATATCATTTATTCTCTATGTTAAATTTGCTCCTGACAAACCTGAAGGAACAATTGATCCGCCAGGACCGAAAGGATATCCTATAATAGGAAACTTACTGGAATTGGACCCCAAGACGCCGCATTTGTCATTGGCGGCGATGGCGAAAAAGTAAGAAAAATAGGGATAAAAGTTAATTTAATATTTTTTTGTTTTTTTATCTTGCATGTTAAAATAGAAATGGGAATAAAACTTAATTTTCTATTATTTAGTTTATTATCTTACATGTTTCTTTAATGTTATTTTTTACTTTTTTAGATATGGACCAATATTTTCTTTGAAATTAGGCTCCGTGTACACAGTGGTTTTCAGTAGTGAAAAATTAATAAGGCAAATCTTAGGACAGCAAGTTATCACTGGAAGGGCTCCTCTATATGTTACACATGGAATTATGGAAGGAAAAGGTAGGATTTTAAATATTTGTATTCATAAATTAGAAACTTGTTGGGTATGGCATCGTGCCTCAAGGCAAATTGCTCGAACTTCCCGTACCGTAACGAAATGTTCGAGGAAAATTAAATGTTTTCAATTAGATTATTATAAATACTATACTTTCATTATTATTATTTTATAGACAATATAAGAGCTTGTGAATTGGACGACGACGTTTATATATGTTTACAGAAAAGTAAATAAACTAAATCGGATTTAAAATGAAGGACATTTTCTAATATTTATAAGAATTATATAAAATGAATTGCAAAGTTAAAATTATTTATTTAAAGCATATAAGTCAGCTTTAGAACTTCAGCCAAAATTAAAATTAAAATCCGAATTATTTCTATATTCAATAAAATGTTGTTTGAAAATTAAAAAAAAAATGAAACAGTAAAATGAATTGAAATGAAACAGTAAAATTCTACAAAAGCAATCATTTTTTTAAGCAGAAAGTTTTTGAATCATTCAAATCAAATTCTCAGTTTTTAGGATTTATTATATTTGTATTGATAAATTATGAACTAGTCGGGTATGGCATCGTGCCTTAAAGCAAACTTCTTATTTTTGCAAGCAGAAAGTTTTTTGAATCTTTCAAATCGGATGCTTAGTTCTCTCAAAAACTGCAATTTTTTGCACATTTAGCTCAGTATCTCCGAAACGGCTAGACCTGCCTTTACGAAAACCTAATCACCACTTTTCCCTATTATGACAAAAAGAATGTTTTTGGATTATTAAAATTGGATGTTCCATTTTCTCAAAAACTCGATTTCCATTTTCTGCTATCTTTGCTGCGTATCTCCGAAACGGCTAGACCTACCTTAGCCAAAACCTAATCGGCACATCTTCCTATCAATAGGAATCGAATGTTTTTTGAAACTTTCAAATCGGTTGATTCGTGTGCCTGAAAGTGTGTGTAGTGTATCCATTTTTTCTAAGGTATGCCAAAATGCTCAGAAATCTTCAAAACGCAAAGAAATGTAAAAATTTTCAAGTTCTATTTTTGGACTATCACAATAACTTACCCTACAAGAAGTTAATAATCTATTTGTAATTTACAAATTTGTCTCTTTACCAATATACAGATGCATACACACCTAAATTTTACAATTGATGTCAAACGATTCAATAGGATTTGAAACGTCGAAAAAACATAAAATTATCAAATCGGATTTTCTGGCGAAAACGCAAACTTCTCCTCCGTAATTTACAAAAAGAAGTTCATCCAACACTGTACCTTTATTGGATATATGATGTTAGGTATAATTATGTCCTATATATCCGCGGATTATCATATCTAAAATGAGTAATCCACAAAGAATTTGATAAATCATTTATATCGTCCGGTAGACGGACTGACCTGTTCACTATCGAACGAATTGTGAATTGTGAATTGTGAACGACTCGACTCCGGCTCGGCCATATATTTTACCTGTCGCCAGAGTTTGCGCCGGCGAGACATTCTGGTCAAGAGTTGAATGCCTTGCAGACGTATCCAACATCTGGACCAATAATAAGACCGAATATCACATATATCAGGGGTTCTCAATCTAATAATTGATAGAATTTAGGTGGTATATATGGAATATTAAGTATGTAAATATGTGTTCTTGCAATTCTTGGTTTCGGTTTTGATCCCAACTTATGTATCAAGCAGTATGATAACAAGTTTTTAGTTGAGGCCATACTTATATATCATCGTAAGTGTAGTCTCTAAACATAACTGCAAGATATATATAGGAGATATAGGATGATGGTTAACCCATGGGTTACCTCTTGTAATTTATTTGGTGAAGTTATCAACAAGCAGTTGTGATTGCTGTTGAAACAAATTCTATCCTTAAAAACCTACTTTTTGTCACTTCTTATTTATATTTGGACTTGTTTTAATTTTAACTTTTCTCAGCTAATGATTGGATTATTTAATTTTGGGTCAATTAACACCTGTATGAATGTGAAAAATTCTAGTTCCTAGGATGATAAAGACATCATAGTTCCCCAAGCGTTTTCTCTTTTAATTCTTTTAGAAATAGTCGAAATAAAATACAAATTTGTGGTGTATGGCATCGTGCCTCAAGGCAAGTTGCTGGAACTTTTCGTAACGTTATGAAATGATCGAGAAATATTGAATGTTTTCAAATAGATTATTATAAATACTGTAACATTGTGTAATATTTATAAGAATTATATAAACTGAATTACAAACTTAAAATCATTTATTTCAAGTATATAAGAGAGCTTTCGAACTTAAGCCGGAATTAAAATAACAATTTGGATTATTTTCTATATACAAAAAAAAAAAAATTGAAAAAAAATTGAAATAATTTTATTTTCAAAAGCAATTGTTTTGCCTACACAAGTACAATGTTTTTTGCATCATTCAAATCGGACACTCCGTTTTCTCAGAATCTCGATTTCTATTTTCTGCACTCTTTGCTTCGTATCTTCGTAACGGCTGAACCTGCATTTTCAAAAAACTAATCAGCACATCTTACTATCAATAGGAATTGATAGGGGATTGCTTTTTGAATTTTTCAAATCGGTTCATCCATACGCCCGAAATCGTCGACGAAAAATTGTCTTCACACATACACATACACATCCATTTTTTCTGAGGTATGCCAAAATGTTCAGAAATCTCTGAAACGTGAAGATAAGCAACTACAACTTACCATAGGGGAAGTTAAAAATATGTAAAAAAAACAATAAGAAACATGTAATATAAGAAAAATATAATTAGATACAAAATTAATCATAAAACATATATAAAAATAAATCTTAAAATTGATAAAAGTGTTAAAATATTATTTACTTATGTGGCAAATTTAGCCTTAACTAATATTGAAAAACTATTTTAATTAATTTTTTTGTATTTGTGGACTTGAATATTTTTAATTATAAATGTGCAATATATTTTAGAAAACACTTTACTTTTTAATAATAAGATCAATTTGTACTTATTAGTACTAATATTTCTATTCAGATTTTTTAAAACGTCTTTTGTTGTTTTGTTTTTGAAAAAAAGATTTTTTTTATTTCAATTTTTTTTCCAAAAAAAATTTTATTTGTATATCGAAAACAATTCAGATTTTAATTTTGTTTCTGGCTAAAGTTCTGAAGCTCACTTATATACTTTAAATAAATAATTCAATTTATTTTTAACTCTTTAATTCAGTTTATATTATTCTTATAAATAATAGACAATGTTACTATATTTATAATAATCTACGGGATATTACAGCAATTTGCCTTAAGGCGCGATGCCATACACCACTAGTTATTTTGTAATTAACGCCTGGTAAAAAATCTGAAATACAAATATATTTGGTTCCGAAAGATAAAAAATGAATAGCATAATATTTATATTTTTTTGCATTTACATGGATTTTTTATTCATAGAAAATTTATTTTTTGTTGCATGTATATATATATATATATATATATAATTTATAATAATTTGCGTTTATCAAAAATATGAAAAAAATGCATTAACAGGCAACACGTGCCAACTAAAATCTAAATTAGATGCAAATGTTAATCGAATGCAAGTTTTTTATATTTTATTATTTTAAAAGTGCAACAAACTTCGAAATTTTTGACATTTCAATCAAGGTTAGATATTCAAAAGTCAGATGCATAAAAAATTTATGGTTTCCGAGTTTAAGAGGAACGTATCAGAGAGAAAATGATAATTATCAAAAAATTATTTATACAGGACCTAAAGGCAAGAAAATATATAATATATATAATTATTCAAAAAATTGTTTGTACAGAACTAATTATGAGGAAAATATATAAATTACTCATACAGTAAACAATACAAGGTATCCCAGATCTCAACGTGATAATAGTGACCTGACTGTCTTGAAAGAAATTAGAAAAAAATGATCTTACGTTGTTTGGAAATAGTGAGCTTTTAAGTGCATACTACACCTTTGGTAAAATCGTGACCATTTTTCGTTTGTTTTGGTTAATTATGTTTATTTGAACTTAAGATTTGTAATCTTTAATCAGAATTCTAGGACTACAGTCAAAAGTAATGGCACAAAGGCCAAAGTTTTTAAGAATTTGTTGTACTATGAATTTAGATTTTCTAAGAATCGATTGAATTTGAGAGGCCCTTCTTTAAAAAAATGCATTTAAGTGTGCTGGCATCAAAAGTTGGCACATTTATTCAGGAGAAAAATCGAGTAAAAAATAAATAATAAATAAAATTTAATCAAATATAATCCTGACAAAGTTATATAATTATATCAAATAAATAATGAATAAAGTTTAATCAAATATAATCCTGACAAAGTTATATAATTATATCAAATAATAAATCTTCAATCAAAATATAAAATCAACCGGCCCTTACCAGCTCACCATATATCTATTTATTCTATCAACACGTTTCCTGCATTTATTTAATTCATTACCATTTTTATCGTCCTGATGATGATGCATTTTGATTTTAATTCGCCTATAAATCTGCACGCTGAATAGTTTTCTGCAAAAAATCTCTAATGCGCCTCATCTGTTATTTTTGCCTCAATAAAATCCAATGTCATACGAGATGATTATTTGCGATTGATTTCTGCAAAAAATGCAGTTTTTCAAATGGCAAACTGGTCAAGCTCATAAATAGTTCAGTGCCATGACGCAAGATTGAGAATGATCCAGACTCTTTCCAAGGACTGGCGAAAGTGGAAAATTTTGACAAGAGTAATAATAATAGACCCAAATGCATTTTTATTATGAAACTACTTAAACTAGAATTTTAGTTGACTTTTCCAATTTCGGTATCAAACGATGCCTTGAAATGTTAAGGGGCACAACTAGTGTAACCGCCTAAAAAAAGGTGATTTTTGGGAATTTATATTAAAAAAATTACTTTATCAATCATTTCAAAATTTTAGGAATATATTTATACATGTTTTAAGAATACATAGTAAAATTTTTGAAAAAAAAAATTAAATATTTTTTAAGTTATCGTCGATCTCCAACGGCACGACAAAAAAGGCCCTTCACTGCTGCAGTGATTTCGGCCTTCTACATGGATGAAATTTAAAACAAAAATTCTCGTTAAACTAGATAATATTGTCTGTAAAATGAAATACGATAAAGAAAAAAATCCAAAATTGACAAAATGACGGCGTTTTTTAAAAATAAGTTGAATTTTACCCAAAATTTTGGTCGTTTTGTACTGCCAAAATTCGATTTATGATCCGATCAAAAAATCGATAGTTCATTTTACGGAGAACTATATATAGAACATGTAAAAAAAATTTGGTAGTGATCGGGTCATTTGTTTTTGAGTAATAGCTGCAGCAAATTCGGAAAATGCTGTTTCGAGAAAAACGCGTTTAAAGATTAAATGATCGTTGATACCATATGCTATATATATATATACTCTTTAAATGGCTGTAACTCAAAAACTATTTAAGATATCGATTTAAAATTTTGGTATATTATTTTTAGAGGTATAGCCTATAGAAATATGGAAAAATTGAAAATTCGATTTTATAAAAATTTCACACTAGTTGTGCCCCTTAAGAAAACATAAACTTGGAAAATTGCATTTTTTATCTTCTTCGGAAAGTTAATTCAGTTAAAATGAGTTTAAGATTTTGCTATTGTGGAGGACGTGTTTAGGATATGCATGCTAGTACGGTACTTCTAGGATACTTGTTCTAAATTTTTTATCATTGTTTTTTTCCATATAAGTTGAACTATCCATTTTCAAATGTCAATGTTAAACAAAAAATCGAAGCGCCAATCGATTCCACATAATGCGTTTAGTGCACTTTTGGACATTGACGCCATGTCTGGAAATAAAAAACATAAAGAACTAGAAATTTGCATACAGGTTAAATTAGCACAAAAAAATCCCGGATTTGGTTGATTTAATTTATTGATTTGACATATCAGGAAATCATTGCTGAAGTAGTAAAAAATGATGATGACTATATTTATGCATCAGTATTCAAAGAAATAAAATACTTTCAAAATTGTACCCAAAATTATTAAATATAGTTTAATTTCTTTAATTAAATGAAGAATTCACAAGTTTTTCGCATTTGCATGTTTTTTGAATTTTATAAACATTTATGAAACATTTAAACAAGTTTAAACAAATTTAAACATTTCATTCTTTTCAGTTTATGTTTTAAATGGTTTGTGATATACATTTTGAAAATATAGTTCAAATATATGGTTAAAATGAAAATAGCTTTTGCTCGGCATTGCTGTATCAAATTACAAGTATTTCATCAGTATTGTTTAAATCTTATATATAAAAATGGATCGCAAATTGTGTTGGTAAGAGTATAACTTAATAACGCCTGGACAAATTTGGCCAATTTTTTTTTAAATGTTCGTTGAAGTCCAAGGATGTTTCTTACGGCGAGAAAAAAAATGAATAATTTCCGGAAAAAACCTAAAAACAGCCTTTTCTTTTGCATATACAAACCTTTTCTAACTAAAACGTAGAATCAATTTGAGCTTTAGAACTATTATATAAAGTTCATATTAAATTACAAGCACTCGCTGTATACTCTTCCTAAACTATTATTCGGATTTTGATAAATCTTTCTGTAGTTTGTTAAGGAAATTTTCTAGGATGTAAGTGGTTATAAAGTAAACTGGGATGTATGCGCAATATTGTAGAAATCTGTAATATAAAATAAATGGAAAAAATTGAAAAAAACGACATTTAATTGTTTGCATTGACAGCAAATGAAAACTATCATCTGCCAAAAATTTCAATTTACTCATGAGCCTAGACAGTATTAGAATATGTATAATAAATTCATGATTGTCAATAGGAAAAATGAAACGTCTACATTATTATTGCCAAAAACAGCTGAGATGTGCCAGAAATTAAAATAATATAAAATACAGTATATGTATGGCAGATTGAGTGATATACATATAAGCAGAATATGACAAATTAATTCACTTAATATGAAATTAAATATTAATTAGTCAGCAATTATTATTTTTAGGTAAACGGTAAATATTAGTATTGTATTAAAAAAATGTAGACATGGGTACAAAACAACGTCTGTTGGGTCATCTAGTTATAATAATAAAATTATATCAAATATGGATCAATGGTTTTATTGTTGTTGATTTATCTTTAGGTTTCCACTACGACTTTCATTTACCCTTTTCTTTACTTTTAGCAACTTGTTCTGTTTTTTGCATCTTTTCTTTTTGAGAAAAATATTTTCCAAAAATATGCATCAATACTGTAGATTTTCTTTTGCGTATGTTAATTGTATCAGTTTATCTTGGTACTAAAATTTTTCCTACCAAGACCAATATGGTCTAATCTTTGATGGCAAAAAAGGTTTTTTGTAGAATGAAGCAATTTGGTTGCTGACTTAATTTATAAAATTTGTAGTGTGGGGAAAAATGCAATAATCTACATCATAATGATAAAAGAAAGAAGCAATACATGCCACGAAAAATTACCACGTTACCCAATCAAATATTTAAAAGATTTAAGCGAGAAATCTCCTACTCGAAGATTGAAAAAAAAAATGGCCATATGATCTTAAATAAAATATCAAAAAATTAAAAGGAAGAGATAGCTCATAGGAGATAATCTTTTTAAATGCATTTACATCAGCATATTGTCTTAAGAAATTATATTATTTTGATCCATAGGTCAATATTTGTGTTGTCTCCTAAAGAGCAACGTTGTTAAGTAGAAGGTACATCACAACTTCAACTGTTGACTCTAATTGAACTGTTAATAATAAATTAAAAGAATAAATGTTCAAGAAAAACAACAGAAAAATATATTATCATGAAAATATCATAATTTCAGGTATAATATGTTCACAAGGTGAACTATGGTACGAGCACAGACGTTTTCTTTTATCATGGCTTAAAGCTACTGGCAGAATGTTTTTTGGACCTGAAAAAAACAATTTGGAGACCCATACAAAAATGTATGGCCCATTGTGTTAAGGTACTTGAACCAAAAACATCTTCCATTGACAACTTATTTAGTGCGAGTTGTCAAAGACAATAATAGAAAATTGATAAATAGCTAAGATGTTTATTTTTATGGTTTGTGTTTTTTATAAGGCAATGAAAGAAGCAAGTGAAGATGGTGAAGATATAAATGTCTCCAGTGCAATCATTATGCCTTAGGTGACATCATGAATCAACTGGTTTTTGGAGTAAGTTGGCCGGAAGATCATCCTACCTGGAAATATCTGGTGCACTTGCAGGAGGAAGGGATTAAACACATGGGAGTCTGCGGTCCTGTTAATTTTATACCCATTTTGAGGTAAATAAGATTTATAAATAAATTTCCTGCTGACTTATACATCTATTTTTTTTTGTTCCATTTCTTTCGTAGATTTTTACCATCCAATTTCAAGACCTTGCGTTTTCTCCTAGATGGCAAAAGGAAAACTCACCAAATCTACGACACAATTATTAATAATCACAGACTCAAAATGGATGTCAGGTCTCGTCAACCTTGCGACCTTAAAACCGCAGATTTCAAAGTTATCCATGATCCAGCTTTCGAAAAAATTGTAGAAAAATTAAAAAACAAGGAACTGCTCAATGCTTCTGATAATGAATACTTGAGCGCTGATTGTGTTTTGGATTATTATCTGTACGAAGAAGTTCGGAGACAAGATGAGGAGGTAGTAAAAGAATATTTCTTTATACCTAATTATATTATTAAAATTTTATTTTTTCAGTTTTCCGATGAGAGTCAATTAAGACACGCCCTGGCTGATATGTGGGGAGCTGGTGTAGATACCACGGCGGCAACTTTAAGATGGCTTCTGGTATTTCTGGCAGTTCATCAAGATTGCCAAGAAAAGGCAAGAAAGGATCTACCAAAAGACAGACCAATTTGTGCCAAAGATAGAACACAGGCTACTTATCTTCAAGCTTGCATTCTGGAAACACAGAGGATGAGGAGCGTTGTGCCACTAGGAATTCCACACGGAGCAATGGAGGTAATTGATGATTTTTATGCAATTTTGCATAGTGATATATTTCATTGACTAAACGAAATTACTAAAATATTATAGTCCTGCTAAAAATGGTCCGGAAAAAATAATTCTATTTCCAAATCATTGTTTTTGTACAATGAGTTAATATATTTCCAGAAACACTTGGGGAATGCGTTTATGAGTAATTCAGTATCTACGATAAAATTTTTAAATTTTCTATCATTTTATTTAGAGTTTACATAAAATGCAACGTTGAATAAATCACTTTACTGAATCTCATAAAAGCAAATGTGAAGAAATTTATGTAATGATTTTATGTATTTATGTAATTTCAAGAACTTATACCACGTGCTTTATTTTTACTATTTCTCAGTCTACAAAAGTACTTCCTTATTTTAAAATGTGCATTTAAATTTGTAGTTTTTTCAATGAATTTGTAAAACAGCGTTTCAATTTCGGTAATGGAATTTTGCATTTTGCTGAATGCAGCCGGAAACACGTGGAATTAAATGATGGTCATAGTGATGCACTTTATGCAAATTTAGGTTTTTTTTGAATAAAATACTGAGTCGGACGTAACATCATAATTCAGATAAAAATAATGTTATTTTAATTTAGGATAAAAATGGAAATTTTAAGAATTTATTTTTTGTACTTTGTTATGGATTGTATGGATTTTACTATCATGGGAAGTTACATAGGATATAGCAATTGTGAATAAAATGATAATTTTTGCATATCTTTACGTTTCAAAGTTTTCTGAACATTTTGACATACCTCAGAAAAAATGGATGCGCGCGTGTGTGTGTGTTCGGATATAAATTTTTGTCGCCGATTTTGGGAACACGGAACAACCAATTTAAATAATTGAAAAAACATTGGATTCGTACTGATTAGTTTTTGGCAAAGGCAAGTCTAGTCCTTTCGAAGATACAGGGTTTTTGAGAGAACGGAGCGTCCGATTTGAATGATTTGAAGATCATAAAAAACTGATTAAATTTTTCGGAAGGCATGTCTGGTGGTTTCGAGATCCAAAGTAAAAAACTTAAAAAAAGCTCTTTGATGGTCAAAAATGACCATTAGACCTATGGGCATCAAATTATCAGATATTTTATAGAGGTTTTAATAACACATAAGTACATTTTTTTACATTTTTATGGGTTCCGTACCAATGGTTTTCCTTTCGACAGCGGCCCAGCGCTTACGCGCTTCGATATTTCGTCTCTAAAACAGATTACGTAACGCAAGCGCGTGTAAGAAAAATTTTGAAAAAAAATTAAATATAAAAAATCATATGTTTTTAAGATGTCAATTTTTTTCAAAAATTTCAATATTCCTAAAAATCAATTTTTTTCAAGTTTTTGAAGAATTTTAAAGCTTTTTAAAGAATATTAATTTTTGGCACAGGAAATTCTTGGAATTTGCCTTAAGGTATGATGCCCTGCACCATTAGTTAACTTACCGTAGGGTAAGTTATAGTAATCGCAAAAAAATAGAAAATGAAAATTTTTATATATCTTTACGTTTCAGAGGTTTCTGAACATTTCGGCATGCCTTAGAAAAAGTGGATGTATGTGTGTGTGTGCGCCAATACAAATTTTCGTCGATGATTTCAAGAACACCGATCAACCGATTTGAATAATTCAAAAAACATTCGATTCGTATTGATGAGGAGATGTGCTGATTAGTTTTTGGTGAAGAAAAGTTTATTTTTCAATCTCAAAATAATCACTTTTGCATCTATTTGGATAACCCATATCAATGTAGAAAAATATTTATTTCGTCAATTTTGTTAATTATGTTTATTTCTTTTTTTCAGGATACTTTAATATCAGACTATTACATTCCAAAAGGAACTATGGTAATTCCTTTCCAATGGGCCCTACACATGGATCCTGATCTATGGCCGGAACCGGAAAAATTTAAACCGGAACGATATTTAGATGAAAATAATCAAATTAAATTACCTGGAAACTTGCTACCATTCCAAGCTGGTGAGTAGAAAATAAATTCTAAAAAATATTTTTGTTTATGGAAGTTTCGACACTTATTTATTTTTCCACTAAAATTTTATAACTGAAATTTGATTAATTGTATGCAATTATTTCAACAAACAACAATATTTTTGCCGATGTGCATTCAAAGGAAATAAAATCTTAAATTTCCACCGTAGGAGTATCTAATCTCGTTTGTTTTGATGTTAAATTGACAATAATTATTGTAATGAATCATAATATGTTTCGAGACGGATGTGTTGATTAATTATTTATTTACTAATTATATGTAATTCATATTAATTTCGTTTATCTGCTTTTTCCGATATCTCAAATGCCATTCACATCGGAATTGCATGGAGAAATGATGCAAGGTCGACTCATTATTTGAATAAAAAAAATTGAAGTCAAATTATTATTGGGAATTAAAGTTCCCAAAAAATTTTAGGTGCGAGAAGTTCTAGCAATTTGCCCTAAAGCACGATGTCACTTATAACTAGCTATTTTTCATTACAATTACATAATTTATTTTTTACTAACGCACTTTTCAAATAGAAATATTCCATTCATGTATATAAATTTTCATTAAATTTAATTTCCATAACAGCATGGGGGTCATATCTAATGGAAAATTTCTTACTCATAAACCTGCGACTTGCAACAAAATGCATTTCCTTCATAAATATTTGCGAAATTCACCATTATTATCTTTGTGGGATTTTTCCAACCGCAAATAAATTTTTATTTGTGAATCATATCTATTTATAAATAGACATATATGGAACAAATATTTATAACTAGTTGTATGTGGCACTTTGCTTTAAGGCAAGTTTCATTAACTTCTCTAGACAATTAATAAGAAATTAATTGATGAGTTTTTTTTTATAAGAATATATTTATTTGAAGGCGTTTTTAGAAACAAAATATTCAAAATTCCAAAACTTGGTGCACAGAAAATATTCTGTAAATCAAATCTCTATTTCAAACTCTGCATATCCATTTTAAAAACAATTGTGCTAATTTATTAATAGATTCACATATTTTTGAACCTCATTTTGTTTTTTTTCTTTATTATCATTATTACCGTCAATAACTGATATTAATCATAATTCTCCATGAAAAATTCAGCAATTTATGTAATTTAGTGGAAAAGATATTTATATGTTGAAGAAGGTTAATTTCTTAAGTATTTAAATTTTATATAAATTATTCTTAATTGAATTAGCAGTCTCTATAAATCAAAATTTTAGAAAACCAACTTTTTTATTTTTTCAAGTTATTTTTTTTAATTACTTAGATCATAAATTTTCAGAACGCTCTTCAATTTAACCCTTCAACCCTTGTTACACTTTTAATAATACTTAAATATTTGAATAGCATTTGCTGTTCTAGATTAACAAAATAAAAAAAATTAATAAAAACCAAAATATTCAATATTTTAAAGATACCACACAAAATTTCCTTCATTTCTTGCCTTAAAAAAAAACTTAAAATTTAGCAACTTAATTTTACTTGGTTACTTTATTTTTTACTTAGTTGTGCCTTAGTAACAAGAACTGATAGAAAGCTGCAACTTTTTATTATACTAATATTAAACAATTACATAGATAACATTAAATTAAAACGATAAACTTTTTACGCAAATCAACATTTGTTAAAATTCCACTCGTAGTGATTTATTACAAACGCATTCTTTGTAAATTGTGACGTGAATTAAAAGATTCTGTGAAATTATCAAATTAATAAAGTTTTATAATCGAAATATGGGATAACCGGGGAATATGTGATGGTTTTATAAAGATAAATATTATTCAAGTCTAAATATTATTGTTCAATTTTAATTATTATTTTATATCGCAATGGAGATGAGTTAAATCTGGTGTCGAAACCTCTGCAAATTTATTAAAAAGATCCCTTTGAAACTCATGAGAAATTTTGTTGATTTTGTATTAATATTTTATAAACTAGTATTTCATTAAAATATATAATATCTAACTTAATTCAATTTTCATAAAGGTTTAACAACGCATTTTTTTTACCGAAGCTGGAATCCAATTGAGAGTCGAATTCCAATTACAATCCAATAAGAATCCAATTGGAATTCAATAAGAGCAGTTCTTGTATATATACTAGGGTTCAAATTGAAAGATTATAATAAGAAACGTTGATGATTCTGGATTAATTTTATTAATCTTAGCTGGTGATTTAAATTAGAACAATTTATTTAACTTGCACTTAAAAGATTTAAAACTTTAAGACATGAATATGTTACATAACTGATGCTAGAGTAAATTATAAACTCTGTATATTTTACTTTAAGATTCAGTATATATTGTTCATATTCAAAACAGAAAATAACAAAAACAAACATTTAATACGCCTATGCATGAAATTACGTAAAAACAATAAAAATCAATGGTCGCACTTTATGTTGTTTTTACAATTTATTTTGTTTTTGTTGCATCAATCCCAAAAATTCGTTTTTTTATACAACAAAGTTTTACATACAATGTTTGCCATTAATGAAACTAAAATTTTTAATATCTTCTTAAATACTTAGTATTCCCCTATTTCCGATTTCACATAGACCTATCATAAATCATTGATTGACATATCTTCACCCAGGTCAACCCAGGTTGTCTAGTTGCTAAGCAATTGTTAAGAAATTCTAAGGAGCTGTATCAATTTTATAACAAAGTCATAAATTATTAATTGTTTAATAAAATGAAGAGATTAAGAAAATATCACAATGTATAGAAGACATAACTGGAAATGTAGTTCTTCTTGGGAATTTTTTATATTGGCTAATATTAGACAGAACATAAAAAGTAGAGTAGAGTTTTTTCTGCTACCAAGTTTGTGGATTTTGAATATTTTGTTTCAAAGAAAGTCTACAAATCTCATGTTGACTTGTAGAAATTGGTAAATATCAGAAATAAATTAGAGATAAATTCATAAAAAGAAGAGCTTAAGCAATGGGTACCTTGATGAATTTTCCGAAAAGGTGAATTGGAAAGATGTTTTTTTTAAACATTGATTTCATATTATATTACTAACTTTCCGTAGGGAATTAATAGCCCGAAAATCAAAGTTTTTGCATATATTGACGTTTTGAAGGTTTCTGAAAATTTTGGCATGTCTCAAAAAAGATGATGTATGTATGTGTGTATGTATGTATGTATGTAAGTGTTAAAAAAAAATTCGACAACTTTTATGATATTTTGTTGACGGTAGATACCATAGTCTTATAGATCATATTAAAATATTACGGCCCTACGACAAGTCGTTTAACTTCAAAAATTCTTCAAAGTTTGCAAAAATTAGTATCGTTGTTTTGGCATTTGTAAAATTAGACCTTTCATCGACGTTTTCTCAAAAACGCCCCAACCGATTTCATAAATTTAAAAGCCATTTGATGTATTTCAATAAAGACTGTCGTTTGTCAGTTTTGTGAGACGATCTGCCGAGCCGTTTCTTTGTAATTTGAGAAAAAGTGTTAAAATTTTCGTCCACATTTAAGCTTATACTACCGAATCGATTTTAAAAGATCAAAAACTTTTCGGAAGATATTATTCGGGAATGATACTGATTAGTTTTAGGTGAAAATCTACCAAACCGTTTTCTTGTAATTTACTGTTGAAAAAAAAATTAAGCCGATTTTTATGAAACTTTTGTTGGCGATATATATCATGTCTTATAGAACTTACTGAAATATTACGGCCTTACGACGAGACTTAATTTTGAAAATTCTTCAAAGTTTGAGAAAATGAGTAGTTTTTTTGACGTTTGTTAAAATTAAAATCAGACGATTTACTTGGTATAACGATAGAGTACTTGGTCTTAATGAACATACTACTAAACCATGAAAGCCCTACGGAAGCTGGTTTAATTATAAAAATTGTAGATTTTTGAAAATTGGCATTTAGAAAAGACTCCTAGTTAACGTGTTCGTTCGTTTTCAATTATGTGTAATAAATCCACTCGGAATACTTTTAATCACTCATAAATTAAATTATTTTTTATTGATTAAGTCGATTATTTACACATACCGAGAAGTTCATGTAACTTGTCTCAAGGCAAAATACCGATACCAACAAGTTTTATTTTGAATTTCCATTATTTCATTCTCCAACGTCAACCAATTTGATTACTATATTGACTCATATGGTCGTATGTGTTTTTCGTGCAAATCCACTATCTTGTTGCGACCATATGATTCCTCCTCCAGGGGCTATTGACCACCACACATCGTTCGGCATTTGATAAATCGAAAAGCATGCGACAATTTTATCATTAATAATGGTTCAATGACGCTGAAATGATTAAATTCTCTTTCTATTGCAAATTGTAATTGCAATTGCAATACGTCCGGCCGAAGTCTCGAGCGTTTCTATCAATCGCCGGTTGAGACGTGTCTGATAAAACCGTATTAAGTATTAACCCTTGGGCAGTGTGAGAGCTGGTGGAAAAATATTTTATTTTAAGACTAGTGGTGCATGGCACCGTGCCTTAAGTCAAATTGTTGGAACTTCCCGTATCAGAATTAAACATTCGAGCAAAAAAAAATTAATAATCAATACGTATTGATCAATGATTAATAGCAATTGTTTTCAATAATTTCAAAGAGATAATTATAATTACTATGTATGTATTCGTTCATCTAATATATAGTAACGATCTTATCGCTCAAAACACTTGAAAATGTTTACGTTAAGAAGAGTTGCTGAATGGATCCAACTGAGGATACATTTCTCACGATTAATTACGTTTAAACTAATCAGCACATCTTCCCATCAGTAGCAATCGCATGTTTTTTGAATCATTCAAATCGGTTGATCGATGCGCCTGAAATCGTGGACGAAACATTCCACGGTTTCCAAACATACATACACACACATACATCCATTTTTTCTAAGGTATGCCAAAATGCTCAGAAACCTTTGAAATGCAAAGATATGTTTTTTATTTTTTTGCGATTACTATAACTTACCCTACGGGAAGTTAATAAAACGTTACTCATAAAATCTTATATAGGGTAGGGCGAGCTCCTTGAGTAAAAAGATCCATCTCCGATATCTACAAAACAAGTATAGTTAGGAACTTTTTGACAACATTATTTGAAAGTGGAGGGCAAAAGATTATTACCAGCCATCACCTTGATTCTTACGACTTCGATATTCGAAGATAAACGGGAATTTTTAAAATGCCATAACAAAAGTATATTCTTCGTTTCTAGTTTTTTTGGTTGTGAGCTGTTGTTTAGTTTACTTGACCTGAACATAATATTTAAGTTTACGTTAGTTAATTGTTTTAAAAAATGCTAATGTTAATTTTAAGTTAGATTCAACAGTTTTTTATATAGCCTTTATAAAACTTACACGTGAGTGGCCAAACTAAACCTTTGTCCTCCCAAAGGTGTAAAAAATAAAAAATAATAAATAAAGTAATTTCAGTAAAGAAAGGCAATTTTACAAGAGATAAATCTAATATATAGTTATTCCAACTCTGCTGATGAATATTTCTGACGAATTATAAGATCAAGGTTATATACTATGTTATCTCTGTAAAAAACGTACCCATGAAATTTATATTTTGCATCGTTTTGCATTTTTGCAATAATGTAGATATTATTTCGTTTCGTTATGGGGTAAGAAGGGGCAGATGAGAAATATTAACAAAAAAGTAAAAAAACACATTTTTATAATTAGGAGTTAACTAGGAATTTTACTGATTAGAGATTTACAGTTGTTTGTTTAACATTTGTTATATTGCGATGATTTTTTTGGTATAGACAGTATAATTACTTAAAGTCAAAATGGAACTTTGTGCTCCGCTCTACTTTATTTGACAAAAATGATGCAGAATTGAAGTTTCCTAATTGTAGTGTTGTTATTAATGAGAAATATTTCGACATGATTTGAAGTGTGAAAAATTACACCTGATATTTTACTTCACGCATCTAATTTTGAGGCTTTTTACTAAAGCAATCAGAATTGTCGGATTGTCTCTATCTTGTCGATTATTTTTCCGAAAAAAAAAAAATTATATTTTTACTTAAATGTTTTAAAAAACATGTGCTAATAATTAAATGACAAAGATTATAAAATAGGTAATTTTTTATCGTTTATTTCACACATCTTTCAATTGGTTATGCTTAATTTTAAGGGCTAAAATGTAGTATTCTCATGAAATGGACATGTCTTTGAACACATATAACATTATTATTAACATATGCAAAATGACCTCTTTCAGTGCATAATTTGAAGCTCGAAGTTTTAAAATTTTTGCTCGAACTCTTATAATTCAAATACTAGGAGCGATTCCGTTAATTAGTCATTTTAAAATTTTGTAAAGTCCTGGGTGCACCATTTATATGTGGTCAATGGAATTTCTGAATAAATTGAAAAATCTAATGAATATTGATAAACATTTTTTATTATTAAATTTAAAGCCTTACAATTTTTTCCAGTTAAGTTCGAAAAACAACTTTGATCAAATAACCCCCTTCATTGCTCAAACAAAAGTTCACTCTTTCCATTGACCATATATTGATGGCGCATCCTGTATGTTTAACTAATGGGCTAATGCAATTTTTTGGATTTAAAATATTTATGAAAGATATTTTAGAAAACTTATCACCAATGTTCTTACTATGCGGATGACCATTAGTGAATACTCATGTTCAGTTGTAGAAATGCGCTTTGTACTGCCGGTCGGTCACGAGGTTAAAGTCGGTGATAAAATAAAAAATTAACCTAATGCTAATGATGCAAATATTTGTAAAATTACACTGGTAAATGGTGAATTTTGAATAATTGCTTAATTGACTTTTGATGATGATTTTTTTCAAACTTTCCCAGAAACTGACTAGGGTCAGCCCAGATTTGACCAAAACAGTCCTGGATTTCCACTAAGCATCACGTTTTTTTTTTCAAAGCAATATTTGTTCCCGAATCAAATATCTTATTCCAATTTGTCTGAAAATTTTGAAAATGCTCCTATTTTAAATATGTTTTAACTAGAATTATATTTACAAAATTTGGACCAAAAAATCTCTTCAAGTACCGAAGACTTCTATTCCAAATACAGGTTTTCAGTAAATTCATCCTCGAACAAAGATGTACCTAACTAATGATATTATGTAACATTATGATCAATCAATCAATATTTAATTAATCAATAATTAATTTTTTTAATTTTTTTTTCTTTTCCCAGGAAAACGTGTTTGTCTAGGAGAAGAACTAGCAAGGACTTTACTATTCATCGGTGCAGGAACAATTCTTCAGCAAGTCAATGTTTCGATGCCTGAAAATTATTCAAAAAGTGATGTCGAAAGTATATTGGATGGAATTTGTGGATTGACAATGGTTCCAGGTGACCATAAATTGCACATAACCAAAGTTGTAACAAGGGATCAATAATAAAAAATATACGGTTAGATTTTTTTCATTTTTGAGTGAATGGAGTAGTTCACTCCATTTTTTGCACTTATTGTTTTTAAGGTCTTTGTTTCACTTTTAATTAAATATGTATTTATTTATATAGTTATATTTATTGGTCTACTAACGTTGTCAAATAAACAAAAAATAAGATTAAAAAAAATATTTTATAGAAAATTCCATTTATCATTTATTTTTATGTCAAGTAAATAATAATAATATATCAGGTATCATTATTAATTCTTCTGTTACATATAATAATTATATTAACAAAATATGTGAATTAAAAGTTTTAGTCTTTATTTTAAATACTATATACATGTGTTATTTATTTTATGTTTAATAAATAAATACAACTTAAAATATGTGTCAAAATAAATTTTATGTAATGTTGTGTTTAAATTAAACAATAAAATATTATGCCAAGTAGAACTTTCATGTGTTATTTAAATTTTGTTAAATAAACAAAAATAAATGGCAAAATATAAATGTTATTTCATTTATTTGTTTTTACTCAAATACAGTTTAAAATTTTTAAAACTTATATTTTATATTATATGAACTTACTGAGATATAATAATAAAAATATTTGTCATAAAACAATTATGGTAAAATAAATAAATAAATAAAAATTGAATTATTGGATCAAACTTTTTTTTTCAAAATCTTGTGTTTAAATTTACCTCATCTTTTGTGTCAAAACATCCTATTTGATTCTTATTAAATTCTTATTTACTCTTTCTATTTAATCTTATTTAATTCATATTAGTAATATTGGTTGTTATAATAAATAATAAAATAAATATAAATTGTACTGAATAAATATTCCTTTTACTTTGATATAGAATTGTTTTAATAAATTTCCAATTTTAGATTCTAATTTGGTTATTGAAGTCCTTACATTATAATATTATTTATAAACGCATCATTTTTGCACGAATTTTGTATAAGATTTCAATTTTCAAATTTCGCGCTTCTTTCTTTGTTATAACAATCTGTCAACTTCAAGCGATTGCAATATGTCAAAAAATATTAGGATATAATTGCAAATGGCGACAGGATATACTGTAATTATTATTACATATTATATTGTCAAGGATATACTGTTATTTTAAATATTAAATATGTGTTATTATACTATGTTTGTGTAAAATGTGAGTGGAAATATGTGTTTTGGGATAGAAGAAACATCAATAGAGGTAAGTACCAAGTTATACTATTTTGTATGATGCAATGTTTTATATGCATGGTTTATGTTTGAGGTTATGTACAAAAAAATTAAATACAAAATACAATTCGGACTGATTGAAGACTTATATACGCTTGTATTTGTGATGTTCAATTAAACAATAAATGTGCATTAAATTATGTATTTTCTATTTTATAATTTATATATTTTGAGGTTTGTTATTGACAATAGTAGATCGATTGGTTGGATTTTTATTATATCTTAATGCCGAATTTTTAAATCGGCTTAAAGTACACTTTAGATTAATTTGTCAGCTGAATTTCAGAATTTTGTTAAATATGTTAATAACATGACGTTGAATTATATTTGTCAAACTTAACTAATAGTAAAAAGTCTAATATCATATAGATAAAATCATAGATAAAAGAAGAGTAATAATAAGGATAAAATACTAACTAAAATTATTTTCAAATTGCCCTCCTGTTTTTTCTACCACCTGCGGTTATCTTCAGGTCATTGCAAAACGTCAAAAAATGCATTTTATTTCGCCATTTTGTAATTGCAATAACAATTAGTTACGTCGTTTATTAGGTAAAATATTTATAAAATGTGCATGTACATGTGTATTTTGTGATAAAAGAAATATTAAAATTATTAAGATATGTACCACTTTATATTATTTTATAATAAGCTTGTTTTATCTGTGTGTATCCTGAGTCAGGACATATTGGCTGAAGGATTATTCACGTTTGTATTGGCGATATTGAATTAAATCACTAATGCCCTGTTTTAATATCCTATTTGATGTCCTGCCTTTGTGATTCATTTCTTGTCTTAGAATAAACAGTAAAAGAAATTCTGAAAAAAATATTATAGTATCTTCGGTAAAAGAACAATATCACACTTGATTTTACCACAAAACATAATTGCTTCAAATAATTTAGTCTAGATTTCCATAATCTAAAGTACATTTTTCTTTCTAATAATTTAATAAACATTATTGTTCATGTTCAAATCTTAGGTGAATTAATTTGTAAAATTTAGTTCATATGAGCACTTCAATCTAAAATCAACTTGCTAAATATTCAATGCCAAACAAATAAATTTTTGACAAATGAAACAAAATTCTAAATCATTTTTTAAATAAATAGATATTTTTCTGTATTGTTGAATAATTTAGTAAAGTAAATCGATATGCGACATGCATAATTTAAAAAAAAATAATGTCTATGTAATTTTAGACTTATTGCGTTATTTATTAGACTGAATTATATAATTTCATCTGCCAAACATATACTGTTGACTGTATCTTATATTATTTTAATTTCTGGCACATCTCAGCTGCTTTTTGGCAATAATAATAAAGACAGTACATTTTGCTTGTACATTATATTCTAATATTATCTAGGCTCATAATTTCAGCTAAATTCAAATTTCAAATGAATTGACATTTTTAGCAGATCAAATATTTTCAAACAATGATAAGTGGTTTTTTGTAATTTTTGCTATTTATTTCTATAATACTACTATAGTTTTATTGTTCTGAAAAATTTTCTTTGACAAACTCTAAAAAGAATTATCAAAATCCAAAAAGCCGTTTAGGAGAAGTATCAAATCATACACTCGTACATAAAAATTTTATATATAAGATATATTATATATATATATATATATATATATATACATATATATATATACATATATATATACACATATATACTCGTATATATACAAATGTGTATATAATGTATTTAGCTTCGACTATAAATTACTATTTTCTCAGAAACAAAAATCAAACCTTTTAGAAGATTCTTTCAAAAATTCCAGGATCATCATATATTACCATTAAACATTAAAGTTCTAAGAAGGGATGTATGTCTAGACAATTTTCTTCGAAACAAAGTAGTCGATAAAATGTGCTAAATTCCATCTGATTTTCAGAATTATTTATTAAAAAATATACAAACAAATCGCTTGATCAATTTAAAAAAAAACAAGAATTATAATAAATAAATAAAAGGTATACAGATATTCAAATATTTTTTGTATTAAATAAATAAAAATAAAAATTATATAAATATCATTGAGTAATAGATAATTTCTTTTTTGTCGTAGTGATATAAAATAATTAGCGAGTTCTAGAGAGATTATTTAATTTTAATTGATTTTTACAATGATATAGATTTTTTATTTTTATTATTCTGAATAATTTATATGAGACGAGCAATAGAGTTGTTTCTACAGATGTTATTTTTTGATGATTTTTAAAGATTGGTTAGTTTCTCCAAAAGTTTTCTTTAAATGCCTGAAAAAGATTTTTATAATATGCGGTAATAAATATAAACAACAAAATAAATTTCAATAAAATATTTCGTCTTGTTTTATTGTCATAATAAAAATATAAATAACAATCACATTTATAATGATCCACTTACAATTAATTCTTAAAAACTAGAAATATAAAAATAACGGATTCGACATTGGTGAAGATAACAAAATGATATTTGTACTAAAATATTTTTAAATAGTTTCGTAGTCGTTATTTAAGTAATCGTTGCCCTTAAAACTTAACATATCGTGGAATAATCGAAAAATCTATTTAAAAATACGAATGTACAAAAATGCAACAACTTCTTGACTACCTTCCTAAAGGTGCAGTCACACTGTGCGAATTTCATATGCGCGTAGTGTGACTGCATCTTTATGAATGCCTCTTTCTTTAAAACTAAAACAATTGAACACAGTGCGATTTTGTGAGTTTCGAAAATTTCAGAAAATTCTATAAATTATGTATCACATTTTTTCGAAATTTTGTTTTATATCGATAACAGCCAAAACGAAAAAACCTCTCGAAAACGAGAAGCGAACGCAATACAATAGTTTTTTTTTTAATATTAATTTAAGTTACGCCATGGATATTAATTGTCATCACTAAAATGTCATCGAGTCTTTTTAATTAATAAAACATAAATATTTAAACCTTTACTTAATGTACAAGTAAATGCATAAATTATCATAGTTTATTAATACTTTTGATCAAAAAAGCAGTCCTGCAATATCACTAGAAATTGCATTATTATAAATTTCAGACTAGCTTCCAAAAAATACTTTTTTACAATTTCTGGATGACATTCAAGTTGAAATTTTACAAAAATTTCAATTTGAAAATGGAAAAAAAACTCACGCTCCTGACTAGTACTATCTAAGTTGTTTTAATAATAATTGGTGATGGTGTTTTATATCTACAATTAATACTTAAATAATTATGAACACTTTTTTGAGGATTAAATTAAGAGATTTTCTTGGCCGTCTACTCTTCTCTCGCCGAATTCGAGATATCCAGTATAATGCTCTTAAAAAGGTTTCAGAAATCTATCCAAAAATTTGGACCAATATATTTTCAAACAATATTTCGGTGGTTTTATTTTCATTCCTGGTTAGATTTCTGAAATCTACATTACACATAGTTTTTACTTTTATTTTCTCACTTTTGGTTTAATCTTAAATTTGGTTTTTCGAATCTAACTTATAAATTCACTGCCGAATAAATACCGCATTTGTTTTCAAATTCGCGAATTCTCAGAAGTTCGTTCACCAGGCTCTTTCTCATTCAAAATTCAATCATTCACATTCACAACCCTTACTTGATAATTTGTCTTTTTTCGTTGTACTTAAAAACTACATAAATATATAAATAACAATGTAACGACTATGAAATGTATGAAGTGTGAAATATAACGAAATGAAATAGAACGTCCAACAATTTTGGCATAAGAAATAACACCAAAAAATTATCATTCTGTTCATCACATGCCACCAGATCCTGCAAACTTTGGCACATTCTTCTTGTCTTAAGGCACTATAACGTTTCCACAATCTTCTAGTTGTACTTGGAGAAATAACCAAAATTTGGTAACAAATTTGGCATTCCGAAACATGGATATTTATAAACGATTTCTAACTTAATATTAATTAAGTCTTATACTTTTAGAAAACGAGTATTTAATTTAAATACACAATTTCGTGAAAATTATCATGATTGGCACCATCATCATCAATGATTTCATGATAGTTTTTTCTAGTGTGCTCCAATATTCCTAAAAACTTCCTGAGATGAAACCAAGGGTGCATTCAACGGCCTTGGTGTCAGTACAACTTGGAATTGATCAGGACTGATTGTGATTCCAACGTTTCCTTTTAAACTTGGAACAGTTGCTCCTTCTGGTAAGGAGACGTTGAAGGTGTGCATCAGTGATGCAAAGAACAAGAAAAGTTCCATTCGTGCCAGGACGTCTCCAAGGCACATCCTTCTTCCGACTCCAAAAGGCATGAAGTATTCTGGTTTGTGAACTTTGCCTTCGGCGTCTATGAACCTTCCTGGATTGAATTCTTCTGGTTTATCCCATAACGTGGGGTCCATGTGGACACTGTTGATCAGGGGCACCACTTGGGAACCGGCGGGGATCAGGTAGCCGTTGAGATGGACATCTCTGTAAAGGAAAAAAGACACATGATTAGACTTAAAAATAAAAGAAATTAATTAAAAGATTATTGTTTTGTTAAATAAAACAGGGACTTATCAAGACTTTTATAATTATACTGGATGACCCGACAGACGTTGTCCTGTACCCATGTACAATTCAAATGCTCCAATTTTTTTTAATAACCTATACTGATGTTTACCAATTAGTTAAAAATGACTGTAAAATGTTGTAAAATGATTATTTTACACTACAGTCTATACCGAAATGCATATACATCCATATGGGTGATCTTAAATGTGCCACTGCTTTAAATAAAATGATGAATCTCAAAACCCACACTTAACTCTTTAATTATATTATGAAATTCAAATCAGCCACGTGAAACCACCAAACAAACAAATATTGAAATATGTTCAATAAAATAGTATATTAGAAATATACACTACAATTGATTGAACAAATTTATTTCCAATAGCTCAATTTATTTTATTGCCCAGGGTTATCCAATATTTTTAGTCATGAAGATGTAAAAGTATAAATAAATGATATTTTGTTTATTCACGTCTAAAACATCGATTTTCCAAATTTATCACACAAAAATTCAGCGTCTGCCTTTGTGGTTTATAGCATAAGATATACGTATTGAAAATTGCAGTTTTTTAAACAGTATAACGAATTCAGAAAGAAGGTATATATAGTATCTGCGATTTTTGGAGATATTTGCAAAAAACGATGGAAAATGCCAAAGAAACGAATTTTCAGTAGCTTGAAAAGTATTTGCTTTTTTGAAAAAAAAAAATTACACTACTGAAAATTATGTCATCCCCCCGGAAAGTGGCAAAGGAGTCTAAATTATTTGAACTTGAGAGTAAGATGAACCTAATTCCAAAAATTTATACAAATTGGAGCACTATAGTATATAGTAAAAAAAATTCAGACCCAAAACGCTTTATTGACTTGAGTAAATATTGCGTATCCAATGCCAAACTTATGAATTTTTGACACAATGAAACTACTAAATAATTTTTTGAAAAAGTAATTTTTGTTATATAGTGATTTAGTATAGTAAGGCAAAACACGACTGCATTAGTTAAAAAATAATAATCTGTCAAATTGAATATGTTTGATGCGCGATATCTTATCTTATATTATTTCAATTTTTGGCCCATCTCAGCTGCTTTTCGGCAATAATAATGTAGACATTACATTTTACTTATTCATAATCATGAATACATTATATTTTTATATTGTCTTAGCTCATAAGTGAATTAAAATATTTGGCAAATGTCAGTCTTCATTTGTTTTCAATGCCAAACAACGCCTCAAATATTTTCAATGCAAATCAATGATAAGCGGTTTTTTGTAATTTTTTTCGTTCATTTCTACAATCTAACTATATTTTTATAATTTAAAACATCCTAAAAAAATCCCTTAATAAACTTTAGAAAGATGTATCAAAATCCGAATAATCGTTTAGGAGGATTATCGTTTCATACACCATTACAGAAGAATTTTATATATAAGATGGAAATATATTTGAAAAATTTATTCCGAAAGATTGGCAATATTTAACAAAAAATTGGCGTTACTAAATTTAGCTTAATAAATTTGGTGGCGATTGACGATCCTCAATGCATTATAATAAATTTACATTTCTTTCGACCGATCCCACGTTGCAAAATATTTTTGCATGTGATTTTAAAGATGTATAAATATTGCTTTATATCACATACATTAAGTTATGTGTTACATACACGAAATAGGTTATTTTTGCGAATTATCATTCAGTGCACGTTAACGAGTAAGATATTTCAAAACCGGTCTGTTTGTACAACAAATCAACTACAATACACACGAATGCGACGTAAAATCCCGATAATATAGAAACTCACTCATTGTATTGTGTAACTTAAAAATTAAGCAAATTTGATTGTAATAGACACATCTGCATCCAAATGCTGATAAGATAAAATGTGAGCAAGACAATGATGCTGGTAAATCATCGGTCTTTGTTAGAAATGTTGTTATTTATTTTAATGACATTGTGATTCATTTGTATATATTAATTGTTTCTATTATTAAAATTACGCACTTGCATTACCAGAAACTAGAGCTAATTTGGACAATAGTTGAACGTTTTGTCTAAATCATTGCTCCCAACAGAAATTACTCCAATCAAATCCAATACCTCTAATCATATATATTTTCTGATAAAAATTCTTACCGTGTGGGTGAATGCGTCGTAGCCAGAGGAACAATACTTGATCTTCTCATAGCTTCTAAAATTGTACTTTCTGTAGTTGGCAAGAATGGCAAATCTTCTATCCTTGGTAAACGATCACGTCCCACAACTTGATCTAATTCTTCCTGAACTTTCTTCATGGCATCCGGATGCCTTAACATGAACACATTGATCCATAACAATGTCGTTTTGATGGTTTCCATGCCGGCTGAGAAAAGATCGCCTATGATCTGCATAATTTGTTGATCTGTAAAAGATAGATTTTGTGTTAAACACTTTATTTGTAAAATTTTTGATATAAGTAGTTTTTTGTTTCTTATGCTTACCGTGATCTTTTCCTTCAAACAATTCTCCATCACGTCCTTCTTCTTTGGCTTTTTGGATTTCCGCGATGTACGTGTCGACTAAATCCCTGATGTTACTTGGATCAAAGGTCCTTCTGTGCTCATCAATGACTTCTTGGTAGAAATTGAACATCTCTTCGCGGTTTTTGGCAATTTTGTTTCTGGCGTAAGCTTTTCCGGGAAGGTACTGGTATGTTGGTATGTAGTCGACAGTGTTGATTTCTCCAAAAAGGCGCATCCCTTCTTCGATTAACCAAGTAAATCGACGGAATCTGGGGTCGTCGATGGAAAATCGAACGGACATCATGATATTGCAGATGACGTTGCTCACGGAAACTGCTAAAACTGGACTTAGATCAGTCGGTCTTCCATTTGTGGCATTCAAGGTGGAGAGCAGTTCATGGACTTCAGTCTGAAGAGGAAAGAAAACTAGTTAATAATTAATTAGTATAAGGAATTTCCATTGGAGTAAATGGCGTAAATATAACTTCAACATTTTATTTAGATCTACTAAACTCACCATAATCCTGCGTTCCATCAATTTCTTCCCGTTGCCCATATAAGTCATACCGAACTGTCGCAACTTGTCGTGCAGGAACCTTCTCTGGTCCTTCCACAATTTACCTTCGCTGTTGATTATGCCTAAAACAAAATAAATACATTTATAAATTTTGCTCTCAAAAATAGATATTGCATTAAATATTATGTATGTTATCGTTGATGAAAACATATCTTTGCAAGATATCAATGTACGCAAACGCACTGAGCCGTGACAACTGGTGGGTAAAAAATTATGCATTTATCATACAAAATACATATGTAATTTCACACTTAGAATATGAACTTATGGCCTGGTCAAACAAATCGCAATTGATAATTGACACATTGATAGAGATATATTTATAATATTATTATCAAATAACTCAAGTGTAAATAAAAGCTTGGCTAAATTTGTGAATTGTAGAATTATGGTAAAAGATAAGTTAGTTTTATTTTTCTTATTTTATAGATCTATAAAAATTGAAAAAATTCAATGTAGTCAAAATTAAGTGGTTAAGTCATTAATCATCTGCCTACTATTATCACCAAATTTTAAACTAGTGGTGTATGGCATCGTGTCTTAACGCAAATTGCTGGAACTTCCATTACTGTAACGAAATGTTAATATTAAATGTTTTCATATAGATTATTATAAATACTGTAAAGTTGTGTAATATTTATAAGAATTATATAATTACATTAGAATTATAAAGTTAAAATTATTCACTTAAAGTATATAAGTATGCTTTGAAACTTTAACCAGAATTAAAATTGAAATCTCAAAATTTTTGTTACAAAAAAAAATTACATGAAATTTTTTATTAGTAATTATTCCATCAACACAAGCAGAAAGTTTTATGAATCATTCAAATCGGATGCTTATTTCTCTTAATAACTGCCATTTTTTGTACATTTAGCTCTGTGTCTTCTAAATGACTAGACCTGCCTTTGCCAAAAACTAATCACCACATATCCCTATCAATAGGAATCGAGTGTTTTTTGAACCATTCAAATCGGTTGAACATTTTGAAGACAAAATTAATTTAATCATTATGGAAAAAAATATTATTGCTAAGTTTTATATATACAATTTTTGAATTTTTATAAATATCTAAATATATACGATGTACAATTGCAATTCTATAATTGAAGGTTGATCTATTTATATAAATCCGATGCAAATAGAATAGTTGATCTGACCTTATGCACATTGTCAACCGGCAATTTAGAGTCAAGGAATTATTATATTAGATTCCTATAAATAACCCCAAGATATAAAATATGCATTCAAAATAAATTAACAAATCTAAATTTATTATCCTTTTTAGCGTTCTTTAATCGTTTTATAATAACACTATGATTTTATTTTTATTTATTCTTTACATTATTACAGAATTGTTATACCTGATTTTATCTCGTTTTAACATGTGGCTCACGCACAAAATTCGTTGCACAACAGAAAAAAGAACCGATCTTCAAGTTTGTAATTTGCGATTTGTCAATATACGTTAAAAGTTACGATCACACATGAAACATCATAATGTCTTACAACACACAAATTATATATATATATATATATATATATATATATATATATATATAATCTAATGTAATGTATACATCTTTTTTTATGAGAAGCCGTCAGAATAAAATGACTGATTGCATGATCAGGTGTCGGTCGGTATAAAATTTAATATATTTTGCGATTTTCGAAATATTTTATTCGTATATATTGCGTCTATAGTTGGGTATTTGTTCATATATAATTTGGCAATAAATGCAAAACAATATAAAAATAAAAAAAAAATTGGCAGTAATTTGTACTTATTTGTTGGGTAATTTAAATGGGAATTATAGTATATTTTTATTTATTGTAGACGATGCGCAAGTTTTGTAATTTTGATTTTTTTTGTATAAAATTCATCTTAACTTAATTTTCGTTCAATTTGATTCTTTTCGTACTTATAGTAGTGTTCATTTCATAACCATCACTGTTATTTATTTTTCACAATAGATATGTTAATTTTATAAAGAAAAGTTGAATGTCTTAAGTATCAAAGCAAAAAAGTTTTTTTATTCTCTCTTCTATTTACAACTGTCTAGTTAAGGACATTTAATAAATTTGTGAAATTTACAATTTTATTAAATGTCCTTAAGCAAAAAAGTAATAATAATTTTTCGATAATTTTGATATTTTAATTTTCCATTTAAAGAAAAATGCAAAAATTAAAACACCACGATTATCACTGAATTGTTATTTGATTTGTTTTTTTTATTTTATCATGATAACTATAAGGTTTACCATCATACCAGGACGTCCAATCACCGGATTGGCATTTGATTTAAACATTCTAATTGTTACCGATTCTAAGTATTACCAAAAATTTGCTGATGTTTAATAATGGAATAAGCGCAAATAAAAAAAAGTTGAAAAATTATTTCCTTAAATTTGTACTACACGATATATTTGCAGAAGGTCCAAAAAATATCACCCAAAACGATTTTTTTTTTTTTTTTAACCAACTAGTAGATTAAAACTTTTACTACTCACCAAAACCATCTAAGGTCTGCATAAACGGTGTATCAGGTCTCCCCGTAAACTCTTCCCTCCTGAAAGCATCCCTGATCATTTTATAATCACTCATCACAACCGTCAACTGGTTCCCAAGACGCGCGCTGAACAAGCTTCCATACCTCTTGGCCAACTCCAGATACCTCGTATGTTTCTCGTGTCCAATAAAAGCCAAATAGCCCATAACTGGTAAACCCCATGGGCCAGGAGGTAGCATCCTGACCTCCTTGTAGGCTCTGACCAGATACTGTAGCATCAGCACCAGGAGCAAAGCACATGTGAACACTGTCAGTAAACTTCTGGCGTCCGGCGTCCAGGTCTGCTGGAGACCGCGCCAAGCGTATTGGAGGATTGCTGATTTGGTATACATTTTGGGATGGGGTAATAGTCTTACACTTAGGATAATAGTCTTACACTTAGGAGTAGAACACTTTTGGTTGTGTCAAAAATTTTATGAACACTTGTTGGTGCTTTAATAAATATGCGACTTCATTATTAACGTAAGAAAGTTTGCGGTGCACGTGGGTTTATGGGGATAAATTCACACACGAACAAACACTTGGTTGGTTAAAATTTCTTTAAGTCACTTAAGTCTTTGATCAAATTTTGTTGTAAAAATTAAATTAAAAAAAATAATGCGCTCTAGCACGAGGCAATAAATGTAAAGGCACTGAGATGTCTCGCACGGAATCGGCGTCCTTGCCTTCTTATATACAAAACGCATCGGACTATTAGAGTGGGGACGTCGAGTATAGCGCAGACGGTACGATTTATTCAGCGGGAGTGATTAGTCGTTCGGAAGGTTTGGAGGCGGACTGTCGCCTTCAAACCTTCTCTACAAAATTTGACTTTTTTAATTTTTAACTTCCCGTAGGGTAAGTTATAGTAATCGCAAAAAAATCGAAAATGAAAATTTTTGCATTTCTCGACGTTTCAAAGGTTTCTGAATACTTTGGCATACCTCAGAAAAAATGGATGTATGTGTGTGTGTGTGTGTGTATGTGCGTGTGTGTATGTATGTACGGATACAAATTTTCGTCGACGATTTCGGGAACACCGATCAACCGATTTGAATAATTCAAAAAACATTCCATTCGCATTGATAAGGAGACGTGCTGATTAGTTTTTAGCAAAGTCAGGTCTAGCTGTTCCGAAGATACGGGGCAAAAAGTGCCGAAAACGGTAACTCAGTTTTTAAGAGAACGGAGCGTCCTATTTTAATAATTCAAAAAACATTTTACTTGTATTGACAAGGTGAAAAACCGATCAAATTTTCATAAAGGCTAGCGGTTTCGGAGATCTAATGAAAAAAGTAAAAAAAATGCCATTTGGCGGTCAAAAATGATCATTAGACATATGCACATCAAATTATCAGATATTTTATAGAGATTTTAACAATAAGTATAATTTTGGTTTACATTCCTATGGGTTCCGTACCAATGTTTACGCGTTAGACTTCGACGCAGCGCTTACGCGGTTTGATATTTCGTCTTTATGCAGTTAAAGCAGTACGATTGCTTTGAAAAAAAGTTTAGATCTTTGGAAATATGTCAAAATAAAGAAAACATTTTTTTTCAAAAAAAAAAAAAATTAAAAAAAAAATTTTTTTTTAATTTTCATATTAAAAAAAAGTAATTTTTTGCATAATTGTTTGTCAAAAATCTTATTTTTTCGAAGTAATTTTTTTTCAAAAATGTTAATCGTTTTTAAAAAAATAATAATTTTTGGTACGGGAAGTTCCAGCAATTTGCCTTAAGACACAATGCCTTAATTGCCTTAAGACAGAATTCCACTTACAGCTAGTTTTTTTATATTTTAAATTTTTTTGAAAATTTCGAATTTTTTTACAGCGATCTCATTACATAGCTGTTGTAGAGTTGAAATATCGAAGCGAGTAAGCGCTACGTCGTAGTCTAGGGTGTAAACATTGGTACGGAACCCATAGAAATATACACAAAATTTGTACTTATTATTAAAATCTCTATAAAAAATCTGATAATTTGATGTGCTTATGTCAAATGATAATTTTTATTCAGCGGGAGTGATTAGTCGTTCGGAAGGTTTGGAGGCGGACTGTCGCCTCCAAACCTTCTCTCCAAAATTTGACTTTTATAATTTTTTTATTATATTTTGAATTTTTTTGAAAATTTCGATTTTTTTTACAGCGATCTCATTACATAGCTGTTGTAGAGTTGAAATATCGAACGTCGTAGTCTAACGTGTAAACATTAGTACGGAACCATTAGAAATATACACAAAATTTGTACTTATTATTATAATCTCTATAAAAAATCTGATAATTTGATGTGCTTATGTCAAATGATAATTTTTATTCAGCGGGAGTGATTATAATCGTTCGGAAGGTTCGGAGACGGACTCGCGTAGACTGGCTTCGCGGAGCCGTAGACGCTTCGAACTTTCGTAGCACGCCGACTTGCCACCGTCAACTTGTGTTTCACGTGTGAAATAAATAAATAATTGTATCAAAATCAAAAATTGTATCATCGTCCAATAAAATATTTACTAGTTGTGCGTGGCATCGCGCCTTAAGACAAATTGCTTGAACTTCCTGTACCGCAAAACATTTTTATTAAAAAAACTTTTAAAAAATTTCAAAACTTCGAAAAAAATAGATTTTTATGAATTTCAAATTTGTTCTAAGAAAATTGACTTTTTTGAAAAATTTTAATTTTTTTATATTTTTTTTTTTTTTTTTTTTAATTTTTCTTCAGAGCGATCTCGTTGCATAGCTGTTTTAGAGTGGAAATATCGAAAGCGCTACGTCGTAGTTTACCGTGTAAACATTGGTACGGAACCCATAGAAATATACCCAAAATGTACTTATTATTATTGTCTCTATAAAATATCTGATAATATAATGTGCATATGTCTAATAATCATTTTTGACTGCCAATTGTCATTTTTTTAAAAAAAAATTATTGGGTCTCCGAAACATCTGAACCTGCCTTCCCAAAAATTCCATCAGTTGTTCACTTCGTTAATATAATGATTCAAATAAAATGTTATTTGAATCATTCAAATCGGACGCTCTATTTTCCCAAAAAACGAAATACCATACTGGCACTTTTTACCACGTACCTTCAAAACGACTGAACCTACTTTCTCCTAAAAACTAATCAGTACGTCTCCGAATACAACACAAATCAATATAATATAAAGTCAATACGAATCGAATATTTTTTGAATTATTCAAATCGGTTGATCCATGTTCACAAAATCGTTTACGAAAATTTGTATCCGAACACACACATAAATACACCCATTTTTTTTATAAATGCCAAAATGTTCAGAAACTATTAAAACGTAAAGATATGTATAAATTTTAATTTTTATTTTTTTGCGATTACTATAACTAACCCTATGCGAAGTTAATAATTTTCAAAATTTTATCATCGTTCAATGAAATATTAACTATTTGCAAGTGCTTGGCATCATGTCTTAAGGCAAATTGCCGGAACTTCTTTTATCGAAATTTAAAATTTTTGAAACAATGAACAAAATAGATTTTTTTTTTAAAACTTTTGATTTCTCTTCAATTTATGTAATTTTTTAAAATATTAGAAGTTGTCTTAAATTTTAAGTTGCTTGATTCTCACTGTCAAAAATTTTGACCACATTTGTTTAAGCTATTTAAGTCAATTTTAAACATCATATATCTTGGTGCAGAACCCATGTTAGAATGTTAACAAATATTGTACATTTGTCTGTGAATTTCAAATATTTTACATCTCTTCAATATACATATCTGATAATTTTGATGTACATATGTCTAATGACATTTTTGATCGCCGGATGGCATTTTTAACAGTTTTGATAGATTAGCTTTTCCAAAAATTTGATTAATTCTTTACTCTATCAATACAAGTTAAATGGTTTTTGAATGATCCAAATTGGACGCTTTGTTTTCTCAAAAAACAAATTGCCATTTTTGACACGTTTTGCCCCGTATCTTCGAAACGTCTGAACCTGCCTTTGCCTAAAACTAATCAGAGCATCTTCGCATCAATAGAAATTGCATGTTCTTTGAATCATTAAAATCGGTTGATAAGCTCTCGAAATTGTGGGCAAAATTTTGTATACTATCATACATAAATAAACACATCCACAAATATACATACATCCATCTATCAAATTTTCCTGAGGTATGCCTGTTCAGAAACTTTTGAACGGTATGCAAACTATAATAAGAAGTAAATAATATTTACAATCTTATCGTTATTCAATTTCACTAATTTAGTGATTATTTAGTGATATGACTTTATTACAAATTAGCGCTATTTAGAGAACAAATTAGCAGACTCTATCGCGAAGAAATAATCTGTTCAACAAAACATATTTTTAATTAAATTTATGGATTTTTAGATAAACTTTAATATGTTTTGTAGATATTTAATTTTTTCCATCACCGAATGACTGACTGACGATTGTTAACCGATTACTCAAACTCGAAAACAAACCATGATAATTAAATTATAAGTTAATTGTATGCATAATTTATTTTGATTGATCGGATTATACGTTCTTATCAGTATATCACATTTTTATATTATTGATTTTATTAAATTTCGCAAAATTTAATATACTTGAGCTTTTTAATAAACAAGAGTGTATTGCTAGGATAGGATAGGATAGGAATATAATTGTCTATTCATGTACCTAGTTAATTATTTTTTCAATAAATATATATTTAAAATTATTATGAAAACTCTATTTTTTAAGCATGATTGTATTTCAGTTAGAAATACTTTCAAGCTAGAAGTGGTCATACAACTCTTGAAATAGAATATATAATTTAAAATATATAATTTTATCAAAAACAAATTGTACGTTTTTGTTCTAATATAAATTACTGACAATGTGATATAAAGAGCTTTTTATGAAATTGTCGAAATCTTTAGGTAGATTTGCACCCGAGCAAATATTTGCAATATACTTAATATACGAGATTAAGTCAAAATTCATTTTATATTCATTTGCAGTATACAAATGCACGCAAATTATTTTTTAAAATAAATATTCGACGCAAAATCCCTCAAAGAACCGAAATATTATAAACACCTGCCGTCAAAGAAGCGCTTTAAGTAAATGAACCACGGTTTACAGATCGCAACAAGATTCTACAAGAAAATAACAGAAGTAGGGATCCCCACTCTGATTAACTTCTTAAGAGAAAAAAAGCATTTTTACGGAGAAGTTCACAAAAGTGTCGCACACGTCTTAAAGACGCCGAGAAGGAAGGATGATATACTATAGACAGAGGGATTTAAAAAGTACAACAAATATACTTCTTTAAGTCGGTATTCTGGTCTAAATAAAAAAAACGATTATTTTTGAATATGTGTATTTGAATATCTGTATAAGGGGATTTTTCAAAAATTTAAATTATTTTCAGAGATATAGCTGTTTAAACACGATAATCTTCTGCAAAACTTCATATGCGTTTTTCTCGATACTGTCTTT